AGCAGGTGACTTGGTAGGTGTGGTACAACCACCTGGGACATCTCCAGACAAACTGTACGAATAATTGTGCTTTGGAAGTAGTCCATGGGATAGAAAAAGGAGGGGAAGTTTATCTGACCAGATCCTCTTATATCAAGTTCTCTATTGTTGCACAGACTTAATGATTTTAAACACCATTAAAATACTCATTTATTAGGTTACAGTTTTGTAGGTCAGAAGTCAGGTATAACATGACTAGCTTCTCTGCTGAGGGTATCACAAGGCTGAAATCAAGGTGTTGGCTTAGCTGAGTTCTCACCAGGAGGCTCTGGGGAAGATCCTACTTCCAAGCTCATTCTCTTTGGCAGAATTCAGTTTCTTGTGGTTCTACTAAAGAGGTCCCTGTTTCCTTGCTGGCTGGTAATCTGGGGCTGCCCTCAGCTCCTAGAGGCTATCTACATTCCTTGCCATGTGTCATCTCCATGTTCAAACCGACAATGGAGGGTCAAATCCTTCTTGAGCCCCAAATCTCTAACTTCCTCTCCTAAAATCAGCTAGAGATAACGCTCTGCTTTAAAACACGCATATGATTAGGTCAGGCTCACCTGGATAATTTCTTTATCTTAAGGTAAACTGTACCATCGAACATTAACCTTATCATAGGAGTAAAAGCCACCATAGATTATGTCAGCATGTACACCAGGGATGAAGGAAGTCTTAGGGGTCATTTTTAACATTCTGCAGGCCACACCTTCTATTCCTAAATCTGATTTAAAAGTCCATATCCTTCCTGCTCTCCAAAGTTACTTGATAGTATATCTAGACCAAGATTGTTTGGAGATGACAGTATAATGTCAATAGATGAAAGATGGAAATAAAACTATTCCACTTCTGTTCTGCTTCCATGACTTTTGTCAAAAACAATGTTCTGTGAATCCTAGCACATATTAGCTACTTAATAAATATTTGTTGAATGAACGATGGATTGGATAAAGGAGAATAAATATTTGTAAGGGTAAGTGAAAGGCTTAACATAATAGGTAAATACATTTTAAGTGAGCACCTAGCTGTTTCAGAAGAGATTTTCTCCAGTTCCACATGAATGAACACTGTCCTGGGAGGACAATGGGTGAGATTAGTGCAAAACCAACTCAATATATGTTTGTTGACTGACTGAATGAACAAGTAGACAAATTCATTTTGTTTGGTGATCATCTGTCTATGGGACTAGAAAGCCTGTCCACCTCCCCACCTCCCACTCCACCAACAAAATGTTAACTTGGCAGTATGTATTCTTTCTTGGTGATAATGTAGGGAAAGTCTTAGAGATTATTTTTGCTACATTTCATTAAACACTATGCATATTACAAAAGACACAATCTGTAAAATTGTGAGTTTAAGCAGTGCAAAAGAGTCCATATCAAAACATTGGAAATATTTTTCAGAAGTATGTATTTACCTTGCACTATATACTGAGCTTCTATATACCATATATATGTGTATGTGTGTGTATACTATGCATTCTGTTCACTAAATATTAGTTATAATTTTTTTCTGTGATGCCCCAAATAGATTGACTTTCAAAATATCTGGTTATAATAAACCTGTTTAATTACATATAGAATACATCCATGATTAATTCAATCTGTTATAATCTGAGAAATTCCTTAAATTATTCCTTAATTTATGTCCATATTGAAGTATAAGTATAATGTGATAAAGTGCAATGTGAGAACTTCCATCTCTTCATCACAGATGCATCTCCCTTTAGTCAAAAGAATTATTAAGATATTTTAATACATGTAATGCTTATCTCATCCTGTGATACGTTTATAAAATAGTAGCTTATTCAGAGTAACTTTGTCATAGCAATAAATTAGTTAAGTGCCAAAAGTCTGTTATGAACTGAACACTACCTACACCTAATTGGTGCTAAAAAGGGGTGTTAGAAATACTACCTGTCTCCATAGAATCTACATATCAGTTACATATAAACAAAATCCAACTAGAGAACAAGATATCATACATGTTTTGAAGTCTGTTAAAACTGGAAGAACCCTCAGAGATTATATGGACCTTTCGTTATAGAAATGAAGACACTGAGCTACAAAGAGGAGAAATGATTTACCAAAGATGGCAGAGCTGGCTTAGTGGAGCTGTGAAGGAATCCAGCTCTCATAACTGTCTAAGTCAGTGGCATTTAAACAGGTAACACTGCAACCCACAGTAAGAAAGAGACTTTACTACGTATCTTTACTGATCTATGGTGCCATCCATATTGCATATATCACTAAAATAGAAAGGAAACCGGCTAAGATGTGATAAGACAGTGCCAAGAGACCCTGAACTCTAAGATAAATACCAATTTCCAAAATAGTAAAGAGGTGGGGAAAAAAAAGCATCTGAATGCAACTTTTACATCCATGTACTATATAACTAAAGCAGAACTTTACCTGTGATATTATCTATTATAGTCTTTTTTTAAAATGACGTGGTGGGTCCACTGAATTGATTTTACTACCCACTAATGAGCTGACCTGATCCAAACACTAAATCATGTATCACAGATAATTAGAAACCTAGTTAACATATACAACCAAAGTGCTGATTGTTCAGTTTGATAGTAGATGCAGAAGAAAAGAAATAGTTTCGTGGGGACAGAAACCACCTTGGGAAGGTTTCGAATTAGAAATAAGTGTTTAACCTTGAATGGATGGGTAAAATATGGTGAGATAACAATTGAGCAACTTAAACTGGGGTGGGGGGGAGACACCCTCAAATGTAGATGTAAAAAAAAAAGCCATTCTTTAAAATATAACCATTTAACTTAATAAAAAGAATATGACACCATTTTTTAAAGTCTCAAGTAATTTCAAGGATGAAAATAAATTTTAATGTCTCTCCTGACAGCAAATAAACAAAAACCTGAAAAAATTAAATATAGCTTCCAGGAATTAAAGTATATAAAACTGATTTAGGTAAAATTGGATGCAATATTTGTTTTATATCCTTGCTATAAATTTCAAAGGGGTCAAATAGTCTGAGAGCAAAGTGACGGTGGGCTGAAAACAAGTGGCCGGACATTCTCCCACCCTAATTTTTTTGTGCTTTTCTTAGAGTCAAGGATTAATGCAAAAATCAAATTCTGGAATCCCCTTCTTGCCAGCCTCTGTGCATATGAAAGAAATATCCGAGGATACAATGTACCCAGTATAAATCTAGCTGGCTGAAATCCTCGGTGATTTCTCCTACATTCATCCTCAGAATTTTCTCTCTGGTCCTTGCAAAAGCAAGCAAACAAAAACAAACCTAGAAGCCGGTTTTGTATGTGTAAGTAAAATGAGCACACCACAGTGCGAATGTGAGCACATTAAAAAATGTGCAAACTTGGCAGTTAGGAAATGTCACTGCAGTCGTTACTACGTGAAATTTCAATCCCTTTGATGAAGATACCATCTTTCAGCCAAGCCCCGGCAGAAAACCTTTGGTTCCTGTTAGACCCCTCCCTCCCCAGTCAACTGCTGGGCTCCATCCGGAGGGAAGGAGGCTCTCCCTCTCCATCACAGCTAAGCGTTCCCAGACCCAGGAGAAACCCCGGGTTTCTGCAGGGCACTCAACGTGCAGCGAAGTGTCCCAGCTCTGCAAAGGGCAGCTGGAAATGGATTTAAAATGGCAACGCGGACCAATCAGCGCCGCCGCGCCGAAGCAGACATTTACACGCGCCTCCTCCACAGGCACAGCGGAACCTGGCTGTGCCTAACTCCCTGCTTGGGCTGTAAAGCAAGCGTCTTTATTCCACGGTGGTCTGTATTTGGGGGAAGAAAATTTTTGTTCCTCGGGTGAAAGTTTTTATTTTGGAGTTGGTCCAAAATAATTTGGGGCGTGATGTGTGAAAATCTGAACCTAATTTTTTCGGAGTTTTTTGGTTATTCAAGGATGAAAAGAGGTACATTTTTAAATGTACTCCACCTTTTTAAACGGACTGTGGTCATTACAGTGTTCACGTAACTCAGAAAACAGCCCAAGCAATAAAATTAGGACTTGGCAGAAAGGGAGTTCCTAGGGAAAAGGTTAAATCAGGGTAAATTACAGGGAAAGCTGGACAGTTGGCGCAATTTTGGTGTTAGGGAAGCTATGGGGTTCCCGTCAGGGGCAACCCTTCTGCCCTGCGTTGGAACACGGGTGCGTAGCGGCAGCCCGGAGGTGGGGATGAAGTCTTGCCCGAAGTCTTGCTTCGCCTCTGGTCTTTCCCGGAGAAAAAAAGCTCAATGAAGAGGCTGGCGCGCTCCGTGTGCATGTGTGCACATTGTTTGCACGTGTGCATGTGTCTGCGAATGTGCATGCATGCGTGTGTGCTTATGTGCGTGCTTATGGATGTATGCGCCTCTGCGAGTGTGCATATGTGGATCTGAGTGCATGTCTGTGTGTGCGCGCGTTTCGGGTCGTGCAATCTGTGATGAGGGTATTCCCAGGCAGAGCAAGGCTGCCGGGGGCCCGTTCCTACGCCTCCTCAGTTCCTTCCTACTCCTCCTCAGTTCCTTCCCACTCACAGGGAACTAGAACGCTGCCGCGCGTGCAGCTACACGCTTCCTGCCGAGTGCTGGCTCCGCGTCGTGGAGGTGCAGGTAAAGGCCAAGCCCCTAAACGCGGCTCTGGGGCGGTCACATTCCCGTGCCTTACTAGGACAACCGCCCAGGGGCGACCTCGGGCGGCAGGCGGGACGAGGCCGGCGGCGAGCGGTCCCGGGATCCCCGGCCTGTCCCTTTAACCCCGCCGCCGGGCGGGAGCACGTGAGCGGGGCTTCGGGTGGCACCCGGGCGCCGCCGCCGCCGAGGCAGTTGTATTTCGAACGCTGCCTCTGGCCCGCGGCCAGGCGCCTTGGCTCGGCGGTCCGCCTGGCCTCCCTCCTCCTCGTACTATTCCTCCTGCGCAGCCCCCTCCCCTTTATCCGCCCACGATTAGAGGTGGGCACTCCCCCCCCAATCCCGCCGCCCCCTCCCCAAGCGCGCGCGCGCGCACACACACACACACACACACACACACACTCACTCTCTCTGTCTCTCTCTCTCTCTTCCCACTTGAATCCCGGGGCAGGAACTCAGAAAACTTCCAGCCCGGGCAGCGCGCGCTTGGTGCAGGACGCAGGGGCGAGCAGCCCGTCCCCCTCCGACTCTCCGGTGCCGCTGCCGCCTGCCCCCGCCACCCGAGGAGGCGCGGTGCCACCCACTGCTCCGTCCTTTGCCTGCGCTCAGTGCCCGACCCGATCCCGGCCGCATCTCCCCATCCTCCTTTTGCTTTCCGACTGCCCAAGGCGCTATTTGTTTTCTCTCTCTCTTTCTCTTTCTTGCTCTGCGAGCGCGGAGCGGGGGGGAAGAGGAGGAGGAATTCTTTCCCCGCCTAACATTTCAAGGGACACAATCCACTCCAAGTCTCTTCCATTTCCAAGCCGCTTCCGAAGTGCTACCGGTGACCGCAACTCCCGATCCCAAACCGAGAGGGGAGCCTCCCGACTTCAAACCCTCTTTTCCCTTTCCTTCGCTTTCCCCCTCCTCTCGCTACCTCCACCTCCACCGCCACCTCCACCTCCGGCACCCACCCACCGCTGCCGCCGCCACCAGCAGCGCCTCCTTCTCCTCCTCCCCTCTTCTCTCTTTTTGGCAGCCGCTGGACGTCCGGTGTTGATGGTGGCAGCGGCGGCAGCCTGAGCAGCAGCAGCCCGAGCAGCACGCCAGCTCTCGCCCACCCTGCCTCATTCACCAGCCCTACCGCCCGGTCTCCCGAAAGGTGCTGGGCACATTTGGGGCGGCGGAGGCGAAGCGGCGGCGGCGGCGGCGGCGGCGGGAGGCAGGATGAGCGCACGCGGGGAAGGCGCCGGGCAGCCGTCCACTTCAGCCCAGGGACAACCTGCCGCCCCGGCGCCTCAGAAGAGAGGACGCGGCCGCCCCAGGAAGCAGCAGCAAGTCAGTACGCGGGCGGGGTGGGGGCGGCAGCCCACCTCCCCTCCCTCCGCCAGGGCCCCGCGACGCGCGGCGACCCGAGCGCGGGAGTCCGGCGGCGGCGGCGGCGGCGCGCTGCCGGCCGGCCGTGGGGGCGGGCTGCGGAGTCCTCGGCGCGAGTGCGCGGCTAAGCCCCGGGGCGCCCGCGCTCCTCGGGGCGGGGAGATGGGGCACCGCGGCAGGCGGCGGGAGGTGGGGTCGGGCGCAGCGCGTCCTCGGGCTTTCGCTATTGTGCACGGCCCCGAGTGGCGCGATGGCTCCTCGTGACGAAGCGGCCGGGGTCAGACAACCCAGGGCTCGCCGGGCACTTTCCGAGCCGCTTTACAGTTGCGCGGGGGGAAGGAGGTGAAGGGGGGGCGTTGCGGGGGCGCAGGGGTGCTGCGGCGGCTCAGGGTTGGAGGGGCTGAAGTCCTGGGGGCCGGAGGCTGTTTCTCCCGCCAACCGGGACTGCTCGCGGGCCCGGGACTGGCGCGCCGCGGCCGCCCCCTTGGCGCCTTCCCCAAGTTCTCGGTGGCTCGAGACTCGCTCCCTCCCGACAAAGAGCTCGTGGGCCCGCCCGGTCCTCTTAGGGCTCTTTAAATGCGGCGCGGCGGCCGCTCTGCTGGCTGCCGCAGAGGTGTCCCAGGAAAGGGGCTTCAGGGGAGCCTGGGTCCTCACGGGACGGGATTAACTCGTTTGGCCATGGGCGCGGCGGAAAGCAGTGTCCGAGAGTGTGCACGGTAGCTGGGTCACTTCCTCGCCAGGCGCCCGGTCCCCCTTTTGCTCCTGGATCCCGCGCCTCCGAGCTGACATTAAAAGTACTACTCCGGGGCGAGTGGTTGGGGGTTGGGGAGCGGACGATCGAGGGGCGCCCGGGACCCCGCGGAGTGGAGGGTTTTGTCTGCGGATGCAACCAATTAAGCGTGCAGCAGGCGCTTGCAGAGCTGCGCGCAGCGCCCAGGGCGGGGGGTTTTGTTCGCTGCAATTTCCAAGCCTCGGCGGGCAAGGCTGGAGCGGGACGTGTCTATTGAGAACATTTAAACTCCGCTTCCGCGGGCTTTAAAACTTCTCCTGCGTTCCTTGGCCTTAAAGCGCTTCCTTCACGGCAAATAGGCCGACTAGAAAATAATCCCGGAGTCCCAAAGCTGCCCGAGAGCAGGGTGGGGGGAAATCGAACAATGTTTGCTTGCCAGAGCGTTTTAGAAAAACTGAAAGGGTTATATACCTTTTTGAAATCATCAAAGGAAACAAGCCAATCTAGAGGCCCCTGAGTTTTCCCGCTCTGCCCAAGCGACACTTAAAACCGCGTTAGGATCCTGTTTTACACCTCCCGGGAAGTCTCTGCCCTCCCCCCCACCCCTTGTTTCCCACCCGCCACCCAGCTCTCTCTAACTCGAATTGTCCCCCACCTCCAAAAAAAGAATCCAAAAGAAATTGCAATGGGATCTGGAGGTGATTGGAGGTTTTACCTTTGAGTTAAGGCAGTTCACAAAGAAAGAAGAATGTGTCTCCGGTGTGTTTGCTCCGGATGTGCCCACTGGCGCTAGCGGTCCCACAGAAGCTTGCAGGGAACCTTCCCCAGAGTCTCCAAATAGGATGCGAATTTTCATTGAAGACGTTCATGCGTTTTAAGTTAGTTAGTCCCGTTTAATCACCGAATCTGAATGAAATGTAAATTGATGATTCACTGGATAAATATTTTAGGATCTGGAATATTAATCATCGCATTCTCTTAACCACTTGAGTATTTACTACTTGGCAAAGCTTTGCTAAACCTATTGATAGTTTCAATTTCTCCTTCCCAGACACTTCCATTCTCCCCCATTTTTTCCCTCTTTTAGTTTTCTCCAGTCTCCCCCCACCGTAAGAGTTTTCTCAAAAGCAAGTTTTGGAGAAAATGTTAATTTTTATCAAAAGACATTTAAATTTAGGCTACAGACCATGCCTACAACTCCAAAAGGAAGTGGAGAACTGAAGCAATTACCTAGATAATTCAAGCAAAACCTCCCACAACAGATTTACCATAATTATTTGGAAATTTTAGGGGGAATGGAGTTATTTTGAGTTGAAGATCTTGGATAATTGCTCCAATACTTCACTCAATGTGTTGATTGAGTCATAATTGACCTACAATGCAGATACGCAGAGATGATTAAAAACCATCTTTTCAATAGGGAAGATTGTTGAAATATTTATGATGTTAGCTTCATATTTCTGTTGTTTGAAATGCTAGTACAATGGGTAGTAGCATTCCTGTAAAGGATTTATAAGTTGCCAAATGCATAACCATTTCATATTTTACACCTTAAAACTGTGTAGCTTTCTTCCTAAACCATGCAACCTTGTCAGCCTTTGTTACCTTTTTAGAGTTGAAACAGAATCTAGTTTTCATATGCAAAATAGAGTTTCCTTCTTGAACCCTGGGATTAAAAGTATAGTTATTTCCTCTTTCTGTAAACTCAGTACCATCATCATTCCATTTATGCTCCTACTGAATGTGTTCCAACAGTTCTTTTGAGCAGCACATGCAAAAAATATAACTATAGAGTCAGGGTCAATTTCTTTCAGACATTCTTCCACAACAACATTTTTTCCCCCCCACACTTAGGAGCCAACCGGTGAGCCCTCTCCTAAGAGACCCAGGGGAAGACCCAAAGGCAGCAAAAACAAGAGTCCCTCCAAAGCAGCTCAAAAGGTGAGATTTCTCAAGTTAAGTCCCCCCAACTTTCTCCATGACCACAGGAACTTCCCTGTAATTTTCCCATTCTAGATCCAAACCTAAGGATTTGTCCCAACTGGGTAACCCAAGACTCATTTCCTACCTTTACCATTTCCAAGCAAAGTTAAGATTTCTAAGCATAATTGCTTAGCATAAAAAGTTTATGAAGATGCTTCCAGTGTTGTTCTTAAATAAACAATCACCAAATAATATGAAACTCAAAACCGGGGCTGGGAGGGTGAGGAGGGGGAGTGGAGAAAGGCGCAATTAAGATCTGCACCGGTTGTGAAAGAGTTAAAAATAAATCTGAACTATAGGATTTGCTTGATGGTGTTGTTTGCAATTTCCTTCAAAAATAATAAAGATTGATTTACTTTGTGCTTATTTACATGATTACTGCAAAACCAAATCCTTCCATAAGGTTAAGTACTTTGCCAAATGATAATTAGAAGTAAATCCAGTGATGGGATACTGGAAAAAAAATTTTCATGAATTTTACAGATTTAAATGTGATGGTAAAGTATGCTGTTTGCTTACAATAAACTTGCAATATAATACATCATAATCTCTCAAAATGCTTTTCCATCAGGTGATATAGCAATGCTCTAAATGGGACAATGAGAAGTTTTTTTAAACAAGTATTTGATTCATTTATTGTGTATTTTGGGGCAGGATAGAACCCAGTCTGGTATAAGTTCCAGTGTTTTTATTTATAAATTTTAAATTGCAGTTTAAAGTAACGTAATGTTGGTTGTATTTGAGCTAGCAAAGAGGAAGTATCTCAGGGTCAATGCACGTACAGAGAAGCGAAGATGAATATAAAACTCACTTTTTTAAAACTTTATAAAGAAATCAAAAAAAGTTTCTGTATTTTATTTGTAGGGCTGTATATTAGTTGAAAACAAAGGCTCAAAATCCAGAAGTAAATTATGGTATACCTTTTAGTAGATTTGAGTACATCATGTACAGCAATTTTTAAAAAGGACTATAAGATCATCTTTGGGGGCTAATGTTTTGTGTGGTTTTCTCTGTGACTGTGGGCACTAACCATGTTAGATGTGATCGTTTTCAGTATTATAAACTGCCATAGCAACCAGGGATACATATAAAAGTTGTTTAGGGAGTAACTATGAGTTCTTGTCTGTTTTACTTTAATAATCTTAAACAGAGCTGAAGTGAAGGAGCAGATTTCTAATGTATTTAAATATAACTGCTTCACAGAGTGAAGATTTAATTGTGACCCACATTTCATCAATAAGCTTTGAAGTAGCTCTAAATTACCTTGTCATTTAGAACTGACAGTATATAATCTGATATTTCTAATATGAATATTTCCTATTTGTTACATTTTTACCTGGTTTATGAAATTAGCTGAAAGGAGCTAATTTAACAAAGGAGTTTTTCAATGTTGCATAAGTGTGGGATTTACCTAACTTAATTTTACTCTAATGAAATGGCAAAGGAATATCTTGGTAGGTAGCTAACAAACATTGAAACTCTGATGTAATTGCTCTGAAAAATGCATCATTACATCTCCCAGGAAGAAATCTGTATATCTCATCATAAATAATTGATTTAAAATTTTAAGCAAAAATAAGAAAATGAATCTCATCTTTCACATTTCACTGTAGCACATTTTTTTGAATGAGTAAAGAGATGCTTCTCTTCATTTTGAAAAGTTTACCACTGACTAACAAAATCTTTATTGACACAAGGAAAGCTGAGACTTGTGTCTAATTTACTACCTAAAGCAAAATAACAAAAAAGTTGGTCTCCTCCCAAGTAAGGTTTGATTTATTTTTAGTTGTTTTAGTAATAGGCATTTACAAACGATCCTGCTAGGCTACTCATCTTTCTGATAATTCTTCATGTATATGTATACATTATTACAACTTCTAAAACAGAAATTGATTTTCTTTTTCCCACAGAAATCTTTCCCTGATATCTTTCATTCATCCAGACAAAATTATTTCACAAAATTCTGGCATAAAAGTCCCTTCTAGTAAAAATGAGTAAATACATTTGCCCATAACACGACTGTTATATTTCTTCAGTTTTATAAATTACGCTTCATTTGGAGAAGATAATACTTTGCAAAATAATGAATGACATTGATGAATTGTTCATGGCATGTGTAAACTTAAGGTATTTTCACTTTCAAATCAGTATTTATTGAGTTTGTTACTATACTATGTAAACATGATTATCAAACATAAATTTGTTTGTCAAACATATATTGTGCTCTGACAAAACATGTTAGGACTTTGAGAAGCAATCTTTTTCAGAAAAAGTTATATTGTTCATAACATGTAAGATAAACATACCCTTCCAGACTGACCAGTGTAGATTGAGAAGTCTCCTATGATTAATAAATTGGGTATTCTTGTGCAAACTGAGATTCATCCCAATGAAAAATACAAAACACAACTGGTAAGTATATAGGAGAACAGAACTCTAAAATTAGAAGAGATGCAACATACACTGGAATCCTGATGATGTTGTGTGTTTAAAATTTCTTGCTGCTTGGAGTTTCTTTACTTACAAAGTTTGTGTTTGGACTCAGTCATTGGCCTTGGGGCATTTGAAAACAAAACTGCTTGTTGGAAAATTAGCAATGTGAAACTTGACAATGCACGCTGAATGTTGCAAGACCAAGTGGACAACTACTCAATTAGCTAGCACTTTAATTTCAGGCCATATTCAATATAAAATTGATTTGTGTAATATATAAAACAAACATTTATAAAAGCACAATTTGTTCTGCTTGGAACTTTTGGAAGAGAAGGTAATAATTCTTCAATCTGCTTATGCTCCATCATGACAGATTCCCATGGATGACCATTATGTAGCAATTCTAGTCATTCCTGAGGAGTCCAATCTGAGTGCTCAAAATTTCTCCCTGAACCCGCTTCATATTGCTATCTTAATAAAAGAAATCAGAAGTTAATGTTTTCCTGAATAAATAATTTATTGGTGTGTGTGTGTGTGTGTGTGTCTTGACCTTGTAATTTATGTTTTAATTTGAGATATACCTGTGACCAGTTGTCTCTCAATTTCTTTTTTGTTTTGTTTTCTTCTCATGTTTGTGCTGGATGGAAATACTTTGTATTTTTGCATTTTGCCTGTTTAGAGAAGAGAAAGATATAATCTGTGTGTTTAGGGTTTCTGCTGTGGCTTTGTAATCATGAGAGAATACTGGAGGGGTTGTCACTCATTCTCCAGTGTTTAAGGTCAAAGTCAAGTTCATCTGTAAGCCTCAAGCCAATTCTCATTCAGGTACTTTCAGGACAAAAACTTTTTTCTGAGACTGAATTAAATTTTAATAGAAGGAAATGGCATATAAAAAGATCTCAGGTGTGAGACAGCCCTACTTCATAGTGTCATAGATTTGCTTGAACTTCCTTTTGACTCTAGGTGGAATGGCCAGAGCTAGAGAGCAAGGTGCAGAATGAAAATATCATCTAGGTAAAGTATGTACACTTCAAGTAAGGTGTTCAGGTAAACATTTGATCTGTATCTTCCATTTGCTTGTACAAAAAAAGGTCTGGTATTGATTGGACCCTATAAAGGCAGATTTGTGCTTTTTTCTGATTGTGTTCTTAGAAATGTGGTTGACTTTTCATAAATGATTACTAACACCAAGCACAGGTATTTTGTGATGAGAGGTTGTAGGTTTTATTCATCATTTCAGAGAAATAAATGTTAGAGCATAGATGCTGAGTGAGGACAAGATTTTTTTCAGAATATAATAGGCCCAAATGAAGAGAGTAACCAAAGGCATCATTATTAGGTAAGTCATGGAAGGATGGGCATTGGAAGTTGTCATACAGTTCCAGCTATGGTTTCTATGTGACTAGAATGATTTTGTTTGATTCCTGTGTGTTTGAATGGTAATTTCCACTGGGATTCAGGGCCCTATCTGAGTTATACACTTGTACCCAGATGGGTGGAATTAAGTAAAGCCTAAGTGTTGTCTCCATTATCTTGATATTTTATGCTGATTTACCTAAGCAATTGACTCTTTTTTCTTTTATGTCCACTTCATTTTGCCAGGGAGGACCAAGCCTTAATGCATCAGTAAATTCTATCTGGCGATGCCTTTGAGTCATCACAGATTATGATCCAAATATGGGCAATTCAAACACGTTTGGATTCTTTCACAAAGTAACTTTACTTCAAGGGACCCATAGTTTTAATTTTCTGGAAGCTATCATTCTTCTGAACTTACCATCCAGAGCTCCTCATTGCTTTGACTGACCCACAACGTGGCTCATTTTTATCTCAAAGTCTCAACCAATCATTCTGCTAAGGAGATAGAGCATCCTAGACTGGTATTCAATTGTGTTTCAGTTCTTTCTTGAGACTAGATGGAGGCTGAAGAGCATTTCATGTCCGTTAAGACATTCCAACCTGTCGTGTCTTGTCAGCTCACCCTCTGTGGTTTTCAGCGCTCACCTTGGAACCAGTTAGCTTGGCACAAGGGTAGAATAGTGAGTTTCACTATCCTAGATTCTAAAACCTCCAGTTATGAATTTTTGTTCTACTCAGGAGAAAAAGGTTGAAAAGTAATTCTATTTTAGGGTATTGCTTTGTTCTCTGTTGTTTTAAGACACTGAACAGTTTTGCATGGCATCTTCGGATTGACTGAGAGAGGAATGGTACAGTCATTGTCTTTTCTCCAGGGTGATGTAGGGGGCACTTTGCTCAGAAGGTAACCGCTGTCGGGGCGCCTGGGTGGCTCAGTCGTTAAGCGTCTGCCTTCGGCTCAGGTCATGATCCCAGGGTCCTGGGATCGAGCCCCGCATCGGGCTCTCTGCTCAGCGGGGAGCCTGCTTCTCCCTCTCCCACTCCCCCTGCTTGTGTTCCCTCTCTTGCTGCCTCTCTCTCTGTCAAATAAATAAATAAAATCTTTAAAAAAAAAAAAAAAAGAAGGTAACCGCTGTCAACTCTTGTATCATAACTATTGATTCTTCTGA